ATGTCATAATAGACCATTCATATAGTTCAAACAATGGAAAGCTCAACGTAGGCATGATGTGGGTCCTAAACTACCCAAACATTTAATATCATAGTAGCTACGCACGGACTCTCGTCACCTAGTGCGTACGTAGCCCCCGCATTTAATAGCAAATTTATCATTTATTAACCTTAGAGGGACAATTCCCTCTCATGAGGTTAGAAAGGAGACTCACCTCGCTCCAAACCGCACTTCCAAATGCCAAGAACAAGCTTGAGATCTCAAAACGAAGCCGAAAGCGCACGAACTAGTCAAACAATATAGGAACTAGTCAATAAGGGCTTACAAGGTTGAATTCTAACTATTTAAGTGATTTCCCAACCTTTCCCGCAAGTTTTCTAATTTCCGACCCCGGGCCCACGTGCCCGGATTCCGAGATTTCTCGAAGGAAAATACTCTCCATAACCCAAGGGTTACTAATATGTGATTATTAGTTCATTACAACACTAATTTGGTGATTAAATCATAGTTTTATCAAAACCCTAGGCCTAGCTCTAGCCCTTGATTTTATGTGATTATTGGTGTTAAATCTATGTGATAATCATGTATTTAAGCTAAGAGTGAGTGGGGATTACTTACCTTGTGATGTTATGAAGAAGCTCTCTCTTTGGAACCTCCAAAATCGCCCAAGTGTGGAAGAAATGGGAGATAAATGCCCTTGCTCCCGTATTAAATGAGCTCACTGCCTCTGTGATTTCCGCTTCTGCGGTTCTAGGACCGCTTATGCGGTCCCGCATCTGCGGAGAATTGACCGCTTCTGCGGTATTTGGGCATTTGGGCATGGACCGCTTCTGCGGTCTGGGAGCCGCATAGGCGGAACCGCTTATGCGGTTTCTGGGCCGCGTATGCGGTTTTCCCTCTCCCTTCTCCCTTTCCGCTTTTGCGAGGTTTGGACCGCATATGCGGTCTCCGCTTCTACGGTCAAAATGCCGCAGAAGCGGTTTTGACAGAAGCAGCAGGTGATGTTCTCTTCAAGGTTTCGACTTCGCTCGAACCTCGACCATTTGACGCTCGGGGCTTCCGAGCCCCGCCCGAACATACCGACCAGTCTGAATTCACGAGGCGGACCTAGTCGAACCTCCGGAATTCCCAAAACAACGTTAAATGAATCGAACCCCGAAACCAATCGATCAAACTTAATGAACTTCAAGTTCTTAATTTCCTACCAACGGGTCAAAACGCCCTTATACTATTCGGATTGACACCAAACTTTACGGGCAAGTCTTATATGATATTTCGGACTTGCTTCAAGTTTCGGAACCGGAATCCGAACCCGATACCTAGGTTTTTAATAATTAATTAGATTCATTAATTCCTTGAAACTTCAATTTAACAATTTTACATAAAAATTCATTACTCGGGCTAGGGACCTCGGAATTCGATTCCGAGCATACGCCCAGGTCCCATATTTTCCCACGGACCTCCCGGGACCGTCAAATCACGAATCCGGATCCGTTTCCCAAGAAAGTTGACCGAAGTCAAACTTGGTCTTTTAGGAATTCCTTAAGGAAATAAATGGGTCTTACTTTACTCAAAACTCTTCTAACCCCCGAGCTAATCACTCCCGCAAGTCATAATTAAGCTAAGGAAGGTGCGGGGAGTTTTATTTAAGTGAATGGGGTCCCAAACAGTAAAACGACCAGTCGGGTCGTTACAGATTTATGGAATTCAATTCTAAATTGAATTCTACAACTTAGTCACCATTTAAAAAACATGTAACATATTTATAGAATTGAATTCTACTTATTAATATTTTTATATTAAAATTTAATTTCCCATATCAAATGGGTTGAAATTGTAGACAATACCATAAGGACTTTCCATGTTAATTAATCCAATTCAAAATTGAATTTACTTAACAAGACTTTATTAATATTTTATATAACATCTCTTATATAAAATAAGTGCTAATTTTATATATATATATATATATATATATATATATATATATATCACATATATATTTTAACCAAGAGATATAATTTCGTTTTACTTACTTACCTAATAGTAATTTTTAGTTTAGTTCTACTAATATTAATTACATTATCCTTTGTGTCTAGCAAAGAATATAATAATATTTACTATTTGG